GTTAGAGGAGAATATTGAAAGTGCCATGGGCTGCCAAAAGAACCAAGAGATCCATTTTGGAAGAAGTACAGCCAGAGTGCTCTGTGGAGGTCAAGATGGCCAAACTTCGACTCTCATACTTCGGACATATTGTCAGGAAGGACAAGTCGCTGGAGAAGGATATCATGCTTGGTAAGGTGGAGGGTCAGAGAAAAAGAGGAAGACCTCCAATGAGATGGAATGACCAAGTGGCAGCATCGATGGACTCAAGCGTGGCAACAATAGTGAGGTTGGCCCAGGATCGGGCAGTGTTTCTTTCTGCTGTGCATAACGTCGCTATGGGTCGGTACCGACTCGACGGCACCTAACAACAACAACAATAGCAACAACTGACTTAATAAAATATACTTTTACTAAAGGACTAATAATTTACATGGTTTAAAATTTATTTTTTTAAATATAAAACTAATTAAATGCATAAAAGAGTATCAATTCACAAAGAAAAATTAAATATGTTTGCTCTTGTGAGGAACATAAAGTAGTACCTTCCCAGAGTTATAACTATGGGATGGTGAAAAAGACTCAATACTAAACTCTTCTAACTATCTTAAAAAAGGAAAAACAACAGCATTGGTTACTTATTTTTAACAGCAAGAGGGTCTGCTTCTGGCTTTTATTAAACATAAATTAGTAAATATGGTTAAAAGAATTATTAAGACTATGATACGCTCAATAACATATTTTTAAAATCATTTTAAAGAACTTATTTTTAAAATCATTCATGGATCATTCATAGAGTCATTCATAGAATATGCATCAGTAAAATTGCTTTAATAATTATATATTCCCTGAATTTACTTTTCTTTGAAAATTGTTGTTAAGTGCCATCAGGTTGGTTCCTACCCTATATAGCGTTTCTAAGGAGCAGCTGGTGGGTTTGAACTGCCGACCTGTGGTTTGCAGTCCAGTGCCGATCCTTAGTGCCACACCTTAAAAAGAAACATCAGTGGACTCCACATCTGCCTACATTGCAAAACCAAAAAAAAATATACTAAACCCACTGCCATTGAGTTGATTCTGACTCATAGTAACTCTTTGTAGGATTTTTGAGGCTGTAAATCTTTACAGAAGCAGAAAGGTTCATCTTTCTCTCTCTAAGTGGCTGGTGGGTTTGAACTGCTGACTTTGTGGTTAGCAGTCCAGTGCCTAATCTGTTGTTGTTGTTATTAAGTGGCATCAGACACCATCAAGTCTTTTCTGACTCACAGCAACACTGTATAGGATTTCCAAGCAGTTGATGAGTTTGAACCACTGACTTTTAGTTTAATAGTCCAGTGCTTATCCTACACCACCTTAACTACAAAAGGAAGAGAACAAGTAGGAAGAGATGCACTGTCCTACAGTACGAATTTACTGTGTATTTAATTGAACCTCATGAAATACTAATATAAAAATGTTATACTTAAAATTAAAGTGGGCTAGAAAAGGGATATAACTTATCAGCTGTCAAAGTCAAAGGAATTTCTATAACTTTTCACAAAAATAAATTTATGTAACTCTGTTTTCTTTCAAAGAGATTACAGTTAAAACATCAACAGGTAACACATGGCAAAATAAAACAAAGTTTCTGTGGACTCTTGGACCCAAGCATGAAATACAAGGGGGCTTTAAAATGTTTGAGGAAAGATTCCCTTATCTTTTAATTTCATTTTTCCAAAAACTTTTTGAAACTTTATATAATTCTAGTAAAAAATCGTCTAACAAACCCATCAGTTAAAAATCTACATGAATAAACGAAAAACTACTAAATACTTATAGGAATATATTTTACAATTTATAAATTATATATCAATTACTATTTAAAAAAATCTATCAAAATTCAAAGAGCACAAAGTAACATTCAGGAATGATGAAAATGCTCTACATCTTGATCTGAGTCTGGGTGATGGTAACCTGTTGCATAAATCTGTCAAAATTCATCTAAATGAATGATCAAAATATGTGCATTTTATGATACACATAGTACATAATGGAAATATCAAAACTTAAAAGATATATTTTAATTTTTAAATGTTTCAATAATTACTTATATGCAGAGTTCTAAAACTCACATCCAGTTCCATTAAAACCTGGATAAATAATAGCAAACAGGTTTTTCTTTGGGTTTCAAAATTTACTTTTCAAACTTTTATGTTAATAGATACTATTTCAAATATTTACAAACATGAAAATAAACTTTTTTAAATGGAAAACTAAAGTCTAATTCTGAGTAATAAAATGAATAAGCCATATATTTAGGTATTAAACAACTGCTTATAGTTCAACGCATGAACTCTTTCCAATTGTTTTAGCAATCATGTAAATGAGAAATTCCTAAATTGTGGTAAGTGATATATATATATAGCCACCAGTAATATATTTCAAATTTAAAGTTGATATGAACATGAAATCTTATCTAAAAACAATCAGCTTCCTACCCTTCAGATTCGTCCGTCTTTTCTCCACCATTATGAGTAGTACAATTTTCACTTTCTGAAGAACAATTCCTTGAGGAAGCTATACTATGTCTTCCTTAAATGCAGAAACACATACAAAAAAAAAAAACAAAAAAAAGTGGGGGAGGGTGTTAGTGTTTCTAACTCAGAGTAGGTTTCACTTATTGAATGGTTAATACTGTAAAGGTGTGGTTTGCAAGGGAGTCAAAGAATGTACAAGCCAGATGGCTTTTCCATTAATATTCCTAGAGGTGTATGGAAAATACAGTAATAAAAAGGGTATTAAATGCCAATCTAAAGATTTTGAAAAATACTAATTTTTGTGTATAAACAGTGATCAAATGTTCAAAAGGCAACGGCATAGTTCTTTCTTTCCAAAGCAAATTTTATATCAGTACTCTGATTACTTCTGAAATGAAAAGAACTCATTATATACTCTGAGGATTTCAAAAGCCAGTTATTATTTCCAATATAATTACAGAAAAGAGCTCTTCTATCTTGCCACTGTGTCATTTAAAGCTATTGTTGACTGCAATAAACAGCAGTTGTGAAAAAGATTTTATTAGAGAGGAGCAAGATTCCGAAAAAACAAATAAAAGGTATAGTTCAAATCCCTTTAAAACAAAGCTAAATAATATTCATAGGAAATAATAAATAGTACATAAAATAAATTAGGTCAACAGACTGGAATGGGAAATTTGTTATAATAGAGTACTTTTTTGGTAATAGTATTTGATCTCTTCATCAACACTTAAAAATTAAGAACAAAATAGCAAACTTATTTCTAAACTTCAAGTTGATAAAAATAGTCATAGGCTTTTCTACTAATATCTATTAGTCTTTAAACAAAATAAGTAAAGTTGATGGCAATACTTGCAAAATTATCATAAAGTTAAGTACTGTGCTTTGTTTCAAAACCTTACCTGTTTTGGAAATTGCATCCTGACCAACTGGAGCGTCTTGAAATTCCCCCTGTGTGTCTAGAAGGGAGGATTTGATATATGTGGCTAATGTTTCAATAGGACTCTCTCCAGCAGCCATGACAGGATTATACTGGTTGTCCACAGGTGAGTTGCCACTGCTCTTCAGCTCATCAAATCTTTTTGCACACTGCCATAAAATGAGACAAATGGAGGCTTTTTAAAGAAAAAAATGATTTAGAATATATGGGTCATAATCTTTCTGGCAGCAATTACAATATATATATTACAAAAGCCTTAAAAATGTTCATGCCCTCTGACACAGCACTTCACCTTCTGAGACTTAAGAACATGAGAATACTTGCTAACAGGAGCATTTGTTGTCGTCAAAATTGGAAAACAATAACCTAAAAAGTTCAATAAAAAGGGACTGGTTCATAGCAACTAGGATCTTAAAAACTTACGAGCAGCCATCTAAGGTTCAGAAGTAGAGTCATGAAAATAGAATAAACATGGAAACAATCAGTCCAGTGGATTCATGGACCACATGAACATCAGTCTCCCCAACCCTGAAACCTAAATGGTGCCACACTACCACTACCAACTGCTCTGAAAGGGATCACATTAGAAGGGCCTGGATTGTTGTTAAGAAAGCTAGCTGACGCTGTTTCAACTCATAGTGATCCTGTACAGGGTTTCTGAGTAACAGCTGGTGGGTTTGAACCACTAACCTTGAGGTGAGCAGTCTGGTACTTAATCCTACAGTGCCACACCAGGACTCCTAGGTAGAGTAGAAGAAAAATGTCGAGCATAACTCAAAAATCATAGAAAAGAACAGGTTTACTGGTTGGTAGTGACAGGTGGAACCATAAGACTATGGCCCTTGGTCATTCACTCTTCAGGTTTAGAACAGAAGTCCCCGTCCTGGCTCAACTTTCAATCAGACATTAAACAGATCACTATGGGGAACAGGAGTCCTGGTGTGGCTCCATGGGTTAATGCACTAGACTGCAAAGTAAGTTTGAATCACAAGGTTGGCAGTTCAAGCTCACCTACCCCTCCTTGGAAACCCTGCATACAGAGTCGCTATGGGTTGGAAGCCACTCAACAGCACTCAACAACAACAACAACATATGGAGAATAATAACACTAGTGAGGTATGCATCCTTAGAATAATCAATCATTGAGATAAAAAATGCAAAGTTCAGAAGAGTTAGAAAAAAAGGAGGAATTCAAACAGGAAACACAGGGAGGAAGTGGGATAAATAAGGTTACATTCAAGGGATTGCAATTAATGAGATGAAACAAAACATACACGAATTGTCAAATTAAAACTGATGATCAGCTCTATAGTAAAACTTCACCCAATTTTAAAAAAATAAAGGGACTGGTTCAACAAATTGTGATATAGGTAAAATAAAAGTACAGTATGATGCCATTAGATACTATTGTTGGTGTTGATACATGCCACGGAGTCACTTCTGACTCATAGCAATCCTGTATAGGGTTTCTAAGGAACAGCTGGTGAGTTTGAACCTCTGACCTTGTGATTAGCAATGCAGTGCTGATCCTGCAGTACCACACCAGTATTCCATTAGATACTGTTGTTATTGTTGTTAAGTGCTGTTGCATAGGCTCTGACTCATAGCAATCCTGTATAGGGTTTCTGAGAAACAGCTGGTGAGTTTGAACCACTGACCTTGTGGTTCAAAGCGACCTTGATGTCAAGCGCTTATCCTATAGCACCAGTCTATCAACATATACAGATGCTTGCAATATATAATTCTTGTTAGGTATCAGTGAATTGAGTCCCTACTCTTGGTGACTCCGTTCACAACAAAATGAAATACTACCTGATCCTACACCATCCCCATGAATGATTGTGAATTGAACATGAGACCCACAGGACTTTTACTGGCTGACTTTTGCAAGTATGTTGCCAGATCTATCCTCCTAGTCTGTCTTAGTCTGGAAGCTATGCTAAAATCTGATCAGCATCACAGCCACTGATGGATGGTGGCTACACATGAGGAAAGCAAGAAATCCACCACTGTACCACCACTGCCCCTGTTTACAAACACTAAAGGAAAAAGCATGTAGTAAAACTCTCCATTTGTTATATATCCACTTTAAAAATTAATTAGGTATAGAGAAGGATCTGGAAGGAAATACACTAGGTGTCGAGAGACTGCTCTACGTAAGGTTAAGATTCAAGGGAATTTGTTGTTGTTAAGTGCCGTTGAGTTGATTCTGACCCATAGCAACCCTGTATAGGGTTTCCAAGGAGCAGCTAGTAAGCTTGAACCACTGACCTTGAGGTTCAAAGCGACTTTGCAGTGCAGTGCATTAACCTGCAATGCTACAGCAGGACTCAAAGGGAATTAGAAGTCTGGATTTTTGCTTGTTTGTTTTGTGTATTTGCTCTTTAAGGACATGTTTTCTTTAATAAGTAATAAGGAATACGTATTTTTAAATTAACACTACATACAAATAGTCTGATTCATATTTAATTACATTCTTGTTAAGAGAGAACTTCCTCAAATGGGTGAATTTGAATATGTAGTGGATGAGTTATTATTAATTTTGTTGGTTTGATAATTATACTGTGATTACTTAATAATGTCCTTTTTTAAGGAGCTGCATGATGCAGTTGTTGTTGTTAAGTACCTTCAAGTTGGTTCCTACTCAAAATGACCCTGTATAGGTTTCCAAGAAGCAGCTGGTGGGTTTGAACTGCCAACATTGTGGTTTTCAGTCCAGTGCTGATCCTACAGCACCACACCAGAAATCCTCTCTGCATGGTGCAGTATATAGGGGGAAAGTGTCATGACACCTTACTTTTACATGTCACAGAATTAAAATCTATATAAAGCAATAAAGCAAATACCTAGAATGGATTAATCTAGGTAAAGAATATAGGATGCATGTTGGCCTAGTCTTTCAAATTTCCTAAATGTTTGAACATATTCATAATAAAAAGTTGGAAAAGCAGCAAGTTTGCCCTGTTTTAAAACTTAACATACAAAAATTTAAAAGGTAAAAATGTATAAATTATGGAGCAACAATATACACTAAAAAATAAGTTCCCTCATAATTTCAAAAGACTCACTATATAACTGGGAGTCCTGGTGTGGCGCTGTAGGATAAGTACTGGACTGATAAAAGCAACGTTGGGGGTTCAAACCCACCAGTCGCTCCTCAGAAACCCTATGTAGGAACACTATGACGTGACTTAACAACAACATTGTAAAACTGAGGACAAGTAATCCTGTGAGTCCCAGGTTTCTCAGCTGTTAAAAAAAGTGTAACAGAGGTGATATTACACAAGATGGAAGAGTAAGAAGCTCCAGAAATTAGCGCCTTTGTAAACAACAGTTTCAACTAGAAACAGCAGTTGGAGTAAACTATTTTGGAATTTTAGAATCTGATCAGCTACTAAATTAGGTGGGTGCTTGATGAAGGCATAAACTGCTTATCTTTCTTAAGTGAGCCCTGTGCACCAACTGACCACACTTCCCTACTCCTCAGTCCCATCATGGGGGTAGGGACAGCTACCCCATTCTTGGAGTAGTTGGCTGATGCCTGGGCAGACAGTGAGATCCTGTCCACTAAGAATTTGGGGTTGCTATACTCGGCAAAACTGCCCTTAAGAAAAAAGGAGAAATTCAGACATTCTCAGATAAATAAAATGGAGGAAGTACACTACCGTAGAAGATCTGGCCTACAAAAAGCGCTAAAGGGAATCCACCAGGCTGAAATGAGAAGACACAAGACAGTAACTTGAAGCCACAGAAGAAATATAACACCGGTAAAGGCAACTTCACAAATGACTAGTCAGTTTTGTTGTATTTTTGGTTTGTAACTCCTCCTTATTTCACATATAATTAAATTATAAAGTTATGCATACAATGTATAAAATATAGTTTGTGACAATAACAGTATAAACAGGGAGAGATAAGATATATAGGAACAGAGAATACATGTTCAAAATGTTCCTAGACCATTAGAGAGATGCAAATCAAAACAACAATGAGATATCATCTCACACCAGCAATAACAGCAAATACCAAAAAAGTAGAGGGTAATAAATGCTAGCGAGGATGAAGAGAGACTGGGATGCTCCTGCATTGCTGATGGAATTGCAAAATGGTCCAACCTCTCTGGAAAGCAATACGGTGTTTCCTCAGAAGGTTGGAAATAGAAACACCTTATGATCCAGCAATTCCTCTACTTGGTATTTACCCACAAGAAACACAAGCCATAACACAAGTAGATATATATACAAATCAATGTTCACAGCAGCACTATTTACAATAGCAAAAAAGATGGAGACAACCTAAATGTCCATCAATTGAAGAATGGATAAACAAACTGTGGTACATACACACAATGGAATACTATGTTACCTTGAAGAACAAGGAAGCTGCAAGCTACTGCATAACATGGATGAACCTTGAGGACATTATGCTGAGTGAAATCAGTCAGTCACAAAAGGAGAAATATTGCATAGGACCACTACTGTAAAAGATTAAGAAAAAGAACCCATATTAAAGGGGGATGAGGGGGATTCTTTGTTGGTTACTGGGATGTGGGGTGGGGTGAGGGGAAGGAAGGGAAGGTGGAGCACAGGTTAGGGAATAGACACAGGATAGTTTGGGTGATAGGGAGGGGGGCAATACACAAGAAGGGGGAAGGGATGGAAGAACAAGGCGGATGGGAAAACAATTAGGCAGCTTTGCATGGGCTAAGTGAGACAGAGGTAAAAAATGGTGTATGCACAACATTGGAACAACAGGGCTCTGGGATACAGGGATTGAGGCATGGTTGGAATAGGCAAAAAGGGGGAAATAATGTTAAAATGCTTGGCTGCCTTTTGAATCTTGGTTTCCCTGGCATACTATTACAAAATAGACACTTGAGGGGGAGAGAAAGGAATACCCAGAAATATCACCATAGAAAGCTTGTAAGTCTGTCTTCTGCCAGTAACTGATTGGAATACTTAAAATGGGGCTACAACGTGCCCAGTGAAGGAGGCTTCCTGTGGAGCCTCTGCATTTCGTAAGACCAAGGTAGAATCCTGAACCTCACCCAGAATCTTCTGAGGTGGGAAATTTCCACTTGAAAGGACAAGCAGATCAGCCTGGAACGGCTAGAAGAACAGAAGATACTTCTTGAAAGAAAGTC